TAATGATTATGTACCTTCGCTGTTGAGGAATGCACACACATACTTCTCAAGATGAATTTTAAATCTTATATCAAGGTAGTTCCCACCYCCCTGCTTGTACTCGGTAAGTCTGTCCTCTGTTCCAAGTTTCTGGCCCACAAAGTAATACCTCTCCTCAGGGTCTGGTCTCGCAGGATGATTGGTGTTATTTGGTATATTTGTTGATATGGCAACTGGACATATTATAGGATCACTTGTTACAGGAACAGCTTTTATATTTGAAGCACATGTGGTTTTATGTTTTGCCTTTTTTGAACGCTTTTTGCCCTTTCTGTGCCTAACTTTAGGTACATTTTTATCAACTTCGAATGGCTCTTTTCTCCGTGCTGTATTGACTTCTAAAAGCTTCCCAGGATATATCAACTCGTTGTCATCTACTGAAGCAAATCCATTAAGTTTCTCGATACAAATATCAATAGTTTCTTTATCTTTGAGACTTACGAAGCCATAAGCGGGCTTCTTGGTCGACCTTCGATGTACTTTGATATTTTCAAGCTGAATAGAAACTCCAATCGATTCAAATAAACTCTGTATTTCTCTCTGGAGTTCTTCACTTGTTCTATCAGACCGCAAATTCCCTACATACGCCGTCGAAATAGGAGCGAAACTATCCATTTTTTAACTCCATCACAACAAAATATAACTTAGAATGTAAATCATCAAATATATCTTTTATAGCAGGCCGATGAAGTTGAGAATTTTTGTTGGACTTGAAAACAAGCCACCAGATCTTCACAATTTTCATCAATTCTGCAGCTTTTTGCGAAGATTATATACTTCAGGCTCTACAGGTTTGATTCTGTAAAAGTTTKAGCATTTGAATTGAGAATCCACTGTTAAGGTGTTCTTAGAATATCGTAAAAACTCCGAGAATTGTTTTTCATTGTTGATGTCTGGACTACTACGCGCGTGTTTTCATGCGGAAAACCGCGTTCAAAACATACGCGGACTTGAACTTCTTGTGGGACAGGAAGCCCAAGAAAAGAGAAATGTTCCATGACTTGGCGTTGTACTAGTACGTCTCACGAATCGTAGTTCTCCTCGACGTTTTTTGAAATATAGTTGTACACCACATGTTCAATGCATTGTAGGGTATGTTTGGGACAAAATATGATTAWTTTTGTTATTGCAAATGCACAAATATTAGCTGTTCAAGGCACTTTAAAATACATATTGTATTCGGTATATACATAGCCTGAGTACATGCGGTTTATTTTTTATTTTAACCACTCACTCTCAGACCGCGTTTACGGGTAAAGACGGTAAACGCTGGATGAACTCAGGCTATATCGACACTGCAATTGMYCTATTTCATTATGACGTCACAGTATGTTTACATCGGAAAACRATGCTCAAAAACAGTGGAAATTTGGAYCCATTTATATTGTCTCCTAAAGTAGAACTTAGATGAAYCGTGTTTTGATATATATCATGTATAAATGATTTCTAATGTACATTTTATTTGATATGCAGTCACTCCGATCCCTTCTGGCGACCATAATTCTTAGCGTTAAAACAATAGAATGTTTTGATGTGACGTCATAATGAACTAGGGCAATCACCGAAAACAGAAGAAAGCACTAGAAAATGTTGCAAATACAATAGCGTTAATAATTTAAGTTTTCCTCAAGTTGAGGCTAACCCTGTATTCCAAGAAGGCTAAAAACCTTAGGTTTTAGGGGAATAGAGGTTTATATTAGTCTCAACTTGGCATGGAAAAAAGCAAATTTTTAAAGCTATTATAAACGGCATTTTCTTGTGCTTTCTTTTGTGTTTGGAAAGATTTTTCCCCAAGAGAATGGGTGTGCGCCAATGTCTTCATACGTTTTAGCTAATTTGCACTAAAGTCAGAAATCGATAACAAAACGAAAAAGGGACTGGGTCCGAACTTCAAAATCTAATTAAATAATGGTTCCAGAAAGAATAACCCCATCATGTGAGAGAGGAGTATGTGAAAGGCTTACTGACTGAGTTTCGTGATGTTTGAACTTATAGCAATAAAGTTACTGACATTGAAACCACGCCAAAATTACAAAGAAATGTATGGTGTCCAGCCAAAGCGTCCAGCCAAACATACATTCTTTGCAATTTTTGAAAAATTCTATTTCCATTTCTAATGACTTAAACTTGCTCAAACTCTAAACTTTAGCTAACTTATATGTGCTTTATCTATCGACAACACATTTCTGTGAGACTGTCACTTTTAAAAATTCAGTCCCAGGCCCCTGCTCGTTTTGTTATCGGCAAGACACAAGAAAATCAAGCGCATAAATGAAAAGAAAGCATACATGTTAACAATTCCTGCAAATTTGAAGGCAATTGTTTAAATATTTCAAGAAATATCAAGCGCCGAAATTGCAAGATTTTCTAAAGAAATGATCATGGTTTGGCATTATTTTGCCAACCACTGAATGTTTTCTATAGATTTTGTAGTTTTGAAATGCCGATATCTTGAAATGTAAAAAAGTGTTCACCCTAAAATTTTCAGGTTTTGTTGACATTAATATAATCCTGAATGATATGAGTTCAGATTTCTTATTTTTAAAATTTTATATTTTGGATGTAAACAAACTACGTCATCGTACGCCCGCCTATAGAGCGGATTTCGTATGACTGTGCAAAAGCACGGATCACAACATGGACACGGTACTGCACGGTCACGGAACCTCGCCTTCTAGGATTTCAAGTGAAAGTAAAGATTTTCCAATGTATCACGGCTACGGCACGGTACGGACACAGCACGAACGTACCGTGTTTTTTGCACAGTCACACGAAATCCGCTCTATGTGGTCAAATAAAGCAGCGGTTTTATATATTTGAATATTGAATATTGTCGAAGGGAGATTGCACGACCGAAAGGGATTACGGTCACATTGGTTTTGGGTAGAAATGGAGGCTAAATGGCGCCAATGTTTAACTAATAAATCAGTTGTTATTTGTCATCAATTAGCAAAACTCATGGCTACTTTAGGTCGTGCAATCGTTGTTCGACAATTGACATGCACCATTTTATCCGTCAGCGTTTTTAAAATCGGTATATGACTGTTTGCCCGGATCGATCGGATCCTCCATTTTAAAGTTGTCAGTCACTATCTTGAGAGGTAAGCGAAGCTTTGCATCCAAGCGAGACCAGTTGTTGAGCTTGATCATGAAACACCCGTCAGACTTAGAAAGGCATCTATCAATACAGGCTCAATCGYAGTCCCGCTTTGATGACGAGGTTCGCCTCCCTTTCAAGATGACGACGGGAACCGTACCCACGATATCAATAGAAATCCACAATAGAGTTTTTTCGTCAATCTTTATGTCAACAATTCAAGTTTATCCATATATTGACGTCCCATTAGATTTATATCTGAGAACGATACTTAAAACAGTGACAATACTGTTATGCGACATTAGTATAAACATACTAGTGGTCTATCATACTGCGCTGCGATTGGCTACTCTACTAATGGTCTAATTAACAATTAGACCTCGAGGTCGAGTGGACTACGAGCTAATAGCCCATGAGGCCGAATCCGCGAGGCCGAATGGGCTATTATCTAGTAGTCCACGAGGTCTAATTGTTTTAGTATAAACATACTAATCGGTCAAATAATGAAAAAAAAAATGAAATATCCTTAAAATGATTTATAATTTATTCATTTTGATTTTCCCACGAGTGGTCTATCACAAATTAGACCATTAGTAGAGTAGCCAATCACAGCGCAGTATGAGTGATAGACCATTAGTATGTTTATACTAATTTGTGATAGACCACTCGCGGGAAAATCAAAATAAATAAATTATAAATTATAAAATATTTTAAGGATATTTCAATTTGTTTTCATTATCTGACCGATTAGCATGTTTATACTAAAACAATTAGACCTCTCGGCCTCGTGGACTACGAGCTAATAGCCCATTCGGCCTCGCGGACTCGGCCTCATGGGCTCATCAAGTGCCCGAAAATTGGCTAATGGAATATATGGCAACAGTTCCACTTTTCGGATTTTTGTTTCATCGTTCTTTATACCTTTTTTATCAACATGGATATACACGCATAGCAGCTATTCTTGCCTTCCCTAAACAATACGAGTTTTTACAGGCCTATAATGATTATGACACATTTTTAGCCGCTTGCTCACTTTTAGACGACATAACGGGAAACATGGCCATACTTGCAGATCTAGACGCTCCACTATATGTCGGTTTTCTTTCAACTCCTGAGTATACACCTCCACCACCACCAGAATCCCTTCCAAATCCCATTACACATAAATCAGACTTCATTGTTCACATATGTGACAGAATTCGGACTCACTTACACAGGGACATCTCTTCAAATACTTCTGATTAACTAAATACACTCCATTTTAGCCTCATATAACTTTTACTCTCCTATCTCGCTTCACCTTACGCACCGTTAATTAACGCGCCTTGTTAATTCCTTCTTTGTTCTTTCTTGTAGATCTCTGACAATGTGCCGTCACTTACCGTTGTTTCTTCTACTTATTCTTTTGCCACTAATCATTGCTGATCTCGATAATACCGGTAAAATAGTTACCTTTTATTCGTCATCTTTAATGATAGCACACAACGCACGACCAGTGATTTTCTTTAGGGATACACATGTCATAAAAGTTCACCTCCAATTGAAAACTACTCCCTTAGACAAGAAACCTGAAGTTAAGGTCACTAAAATGTACGAAAGAACAAAATGATTACATGAATGCGATTCTGAAATCCGCTAGGGAAGCACACTCTAACATGCGTCGAATTCTCTCTTTTCCTGGTTATACCAAACTCCTTGAATGTGATACGTTTTTAGCTAGATCTTTTTACACTGAAACTAAACTTAAGTCGCAAATGATTTGTCCTCGTGTTTATACACCAACCACGAAATTGTGCAAGGTTTGGGCTAGCAACATTGCTCGCGAAATTTAAACACACGGCCAAAGCTTTATCTGACGGATTTCCTCTTCTTTTAAGGCCTGTGACTCAGTTTCGACATAAAGATAGGTATATGTTCATTGATACAACGTTTAGTTTACCTCGTGTAGCAGACCGCAATGCTTTCTGCACTGTGGAATATTTATCACCAATAACTTATAGAATCAGAAAGAAATGTTTTTCAGGACCAGTCACTCGTCATGATCTTGTCCTTGTTTCTTGTTTAAATTCTAAAATTGTAGTAAAGGCTGATATGCTAGATAAGTGTTTCAATCAGTACGGCACATTGGTCTGCCCTGAGACTGTTGCTAGGCGTTCCAAAGACGGCTCGTGGTTAGGTCTACCATGGGTTCCAGGATCAACGCTGACGTTTCCTCGTACTCACTCYATTGATACCTGTACGTATCAGGAGTACATTCATCACCTCGGAGGACGTTACTTCCTCTCTGCTAGAGCACAAACTATCAAATTCTCTACTGTTCCACTCAAAATGTCTCCATTGGAAATCTATCACATCCTTGCAACGTCACTTCTGACCACTTACCAACGGGATTTGGTGTTTGTCCTTCCGTTCTCTCCATAACCTTCCCTATCTTTAGAAGGAAAAGAGTCAAATTTGTTCCTTGGACTCCATCTGATAATAATGCAACGTTGGATCTTCACTTCAAATCTTTGAACATCCCACCTCCGTTGAAATTCAATAAATCTGTAACCAAGGCTTTGGATGAAACATTCAAACGTCTAGATGGAGAATTCGCGGCAAAGCTCCGACGCGTTCGGGCTGATATCAAACAGATCCACACCGTGAATGTTACTCCTACTGCTACGATCCTCGCTTCAATCGCCTTGGCTTTCTCCATAATTAACATTATTGTGCTTGCCACCATCTGCTGTTATCAATACCGCTATAAACGCGATGAATTTTCACTAATCCATCTTACACAACCAGATCCCACGCGCCTACCTGAACCACAAGACGTCGAGGTACARCACAGCGACCAAGTCATYCCTTGTCCAGATTGTGGAAGTACCTCCGACGTCGACATCCAATAGTACATCCAGGTTACAAATCCAGTTTACAACCAGTTTACAAATCACGACCCTTCATAATGTCAGCAACACCCTTGTGCGTGATTTGCTTGGAGGAGACTCCGGACCTCACCTGTCTTCCATGCTGTGGGCGACCCACCAATGAAAATTTCGCCCACGATTCCTGTTTACTGGCGTGGCTTTCTAGACGAACAGCACAAACCTGTCCAGTTTGCCGGACACGGCTTGATTTTACTCATTCTGAAGACGATCTTCAGAATATTCGTCCGCTCTTCAGAGTACGGCCATCCCCGGGGCCACCAGATACTCAGTTAGAAGACTGGGACTTAGACGCGGACGCCCCCCCCTTCATCCCGGACTCCAATAATTATATCCTCATCAACCCTCCTTTGTCCTCTGAAGAGTTCGGAGACTTTTTTGATTTCGAAGATCGTCTCCGGAATTGATATTTATATTATTATTATTATTCCTTTTTTTTATTATCTATTTTATATTGCATGTTGCATGTTTTTGAACAAGATTTTTTAGGGTTATGGGTATGGGTTTTTATTCCTTTCATTCCTTTTTTTTATCGCTATACAAAAAAAAAACAAAAAAAACAAATAAATTCACAAAAAAAAAAACGAGTATATGTATACCAAATATCTCAACAAACATGTACAATATATCTTGCATGCCAATTATATACAACAAAATTGTAACCAATTACTTTGAGGGATTTATATGGTAAAATTTTAGGCACAACTCTACAATCTTATACTCGGAATAACGA